TTTCGATCTAGTCGTCCTGGTCCTGTAATGGAGTTGTAGCAGTGGCAGTAGCAGTGTTCGTCGTCGTCGAAGCGGCAGTGGTAGCAGCAGCAGTAGCAATAGCAGTAGCAGTAGCAGTAGCACTAGCACTAGTAGCAGTAGCAGTAGCAGTAGCAGTAGCAGTAGCAGTAGCAGTAGCAGTAGCAGTAGCAGTAGCAGTAGTAGTAGTAGTAGTAGTAGTAGCAGTAATATTAGTAGTAGTAGTAAAGCCACAAGGACAGGCTACAGAACTTTGCTGATGAGGAGATACAGCCCGATTTGATCCTCCTCGTCGTAATGGTCCAAAATGAACCCTAATGCCTCTGTATAAGCATGTCGTACACACGACCAGTTTCCCTGCCTCCCTCATCCCCTCTAGATCCCTCTCTAGCTTTCGCGGCCACGTCTCATGTTCTTGGTTGTTGAAGCTCTCGGAATGCTGGCAGCTTGCATTCAACCATCCTTGCAGAGCAGCATGGATCCTCAGTTCCCGGCCCTTGTGAACTGGCTGCGTAGTGCCTCCTCTTCGGATAGCGGGATTCTGATTCACCCCCTGCAGGTTGGTCGTAGCTTTCGGTCCTGAGAATGCCGCTGCAGGCCAAGCAACGTTGCAGACAAGGTTGAAGCACGCGTGAGAAACACGGAATCGGGAGATGTCCACATCACCTGGGATCAATTCTCATCGATGGCCAGGACGGAAGCACTTCATCAGAATTTGGCAGCTAGCTCAGAGTGCTGCCATGCCAGTGCAGGAAGTGTATGCTGCACATGCTTCGGGCCAAGGGCGACTTTCATGGAGCCACGCTTGCCTGTGTGCGCTGTGTTCGAAGGAGTTGCGAAGCTGGCCAGGTGCTGAGAGTTTTGCACTGCATCCCACTTAGAGCAAAAACAGGCTAGCAGCGTAGCTGTACTAAACCAGCAACAAAGGCAAATCGGAACACGGCACGGGCAATAACTCTAACACTCTTTTTGCATGGGGTCCTTTGCTGACTTGCCCAACCAGCAGCCACAAGATGACGCACGCAGCAGTAGTAGGTTTTATTCTCATACCAAGAAATTCACATCAAATCAGCCTGCATACCAGAACCGCTCTGTCAGTTTTACCTGCTGTCTTCTTTGATGCACCCATACGGCTGTTATTGTACATGCCATGTTGTAATCGGGTGTCATCACATCACGCGTATCCCTGTTCTCCGCTCCCTGGACCCGTAAATGCCTAAACATCGCATCTCAACTCTGATTCCCATACGGCAGTTGGATATCTCCTCTGCGGGTGGCAGTTAAGTGATATCACCAGTCGCTATTCTAATCGCGACGGTGTCATCTAAACAAAACAGCCAGATCTTGTTTAGCGTATACATGGATACCCTATAAGTTGCATCACACACGATTACATTACAAGACGAGCGGTCAAATTCAGGCAGTCCATCACCCTTCTCAATGGGCACACGAAAAACCTGTTGAAGATTCTTGTGCGATAGGCACGACGCAAAGGACATTAGAGCCAAACTACTCTTTTACAAAACTCTTCCCAGTGCCACCTGCATTTCCTCTGCTCAAGCACTTGCCGTGCAAGCTGCGTCCCACTCGTCTTCTATGTTAAATCTCTCCTTCGTAGGTTGGGACACATCAGCCAACCGATTCTGTTTGACCTTGCATTCATCAGTTTGCAACACGATGATTAAGAGAGGCTGCCCGGCAAAGCGGAAGGATCCATGAACGCCAGCAACTGCGTTCTTGCTGTCCAGATGCGCGTGGGGATCGATCTACACCCTTCCCTGTGCCTGGTCCTCAGAAGCACTTCAGCATGCACCGACTGTCGCGCCGTTCTGGCTCGTTATAGTCCCCGGAGACAAGCCAAAGAGGCTTCTGGCTGGCAGCTGTATCCTAGGGAAAACAATTTTGGTGCTCCAGGATCGATCTGCCGCGTGCCTTGAGACTCGAGGACGGCCTTTACACAATGACAAAATGCCTGCTTGCAGACAATCTCGTTCGATCGGGCCCCACATCTGCATGTGGATGCTTCGAGAAGAGTCGCATTATGGTGAGCAATGTAATCCATGAAGCATCCATTGGTCAAGCATCCATCGGTTGAGCTTACAGTCTTCCACAAGGTACAATCCCGAGCCAGAAAGATCGGTTGGCCTGAACACCAGTCCGCTGGCCCTAGTACGACCTCCCGATAATTCCAGCTTTTTGTAGCATCGAGGCACTTCCTAGTCCTGATGTTGCAAGCTCAACTGCGCATGTGACTGTGCACGTAAGTCATGGCGCTTCCGGAGGACTCCGTCCTGTCCTTGGACGACCACGCCTGTGCCCGAGAGGAGGAGCTGTCACCTCACTGCACAACACTGAGTGACCATGTTGCATCAAGAGCGTCGTGTATGCACATCACTACATGGACCACATTCCTAGAATCAACCTGTCTCATTTGTCTCTCCGATGCTTAGTCGACAGCAAGCTTAGCACCAGAACCCTTCACTGGCTTCAAGAGCAGTGGCATAAAGTTGACTTCTGCTGATTCTTCCAGAGAAAGGACTAGAAAATGGGAGATTCACCTGCAAGTTGCTTAAGGCCGCACCCGTGACGTACTTAGAGGTTTTTGCCTCAGTACTTCGTGATGCTGGCAACTTTACTTCTGTACAAGCCAGCTCGTGATTTCGCTGTGTCGAAGCATCGTAATGCCATTGCCCGTGCCATGCCATCCGACCTTGATGTGTGGAAGCAAACGGTAGTACAAAGTCGCAGCCTTGCAGACGAACTCGCTGTACCTTGTCTCCTGCGACGCCGCCGGGGAGTGCACAGCCCAGAGCATCAGTTGTGTCACGTGACACTGTCGTGACTGTTGGCATAGGAACCAGATGTTCAATGTTTGCCCGGGCCGGGGAGCTACAACCGAACCGGTGTCTTCGCTTCTCCGAGGTGCAAAGTCTTCCAGAAAAACAGGCCTGCCCCAAGTGCGAGCTTGTCAGGATTCGTTCGTGCAAGACCTGCGGTGACCTGCGTCAATTTGACGAAGTCACCGGCTGGAACTGCGGTATAAGATGGTACTGCAGTATAAGATGGTTTACGGCCCGCTGCCACTGCCCTCACCACTGGTTATCTACGGCTAGTTGAAGAATGTATGTGACTCCTGTGTGACTCTCAGACTTGTCTGCAGCAGGTCGTGCATGCTAAAGGCCACAGCCCGACTGCATAAGCCGGGACCTTAACGGATCACGTCGTTGCCCAGAAGGGCGACAAATGCAACGACGCTGCTCCAAGCGCTTTCAGAAGCAGCAAGGGGGCCTGTCCTGGACTTCGGCGTGGACAAGAATTTCATTTATTCGTTGGGGGAGGACAGGGCTGAGCCATGCTAAGCTGCAATCAACTCACATGTGCCAACAGCTCACATAACTTTTCATTTGCATGCATTCAGAGGAGTACGCGGCCCAATGAAACCTGCAACCGAGACCACTGACTGCCAGTATGGACGAGCCGCCGATGCTACTATCTGGTGTAAACCCGGCCAGCTGCATAGCAGCCAAAAAGCGTAAGCAGTGAAGCCGCATCCTGCTAAAAAAGCCAAACAAGCACATGTATACCCTAATATACCTGCAGTATACCTATATGAATATGCATATACATATACACAGATTAATACAGATAAATAGTGGAATCGTTTGATGCTGTTTGTTGATGCGCACATACATAAAATAAACATCCGAAGACCCTAGAGCACCCGGAGCTTCCCTCGACTGAGTTTCTGTGCAGGATTTGAACATCCGGATTTGGAGCCTTTCCGACTTGAAGCAGGTGGTCCTTATCCCTGCAGACCATATTCAGGCCACGCTTTGTGTTCAAGCAGGATAAGCAGGCTCAATGTTTGCGCGCCGTCCTCCGCAAGTGTCAAGCGAGGTCTTGCTGACCAGTGTCAGAAACAGTTGATTCAGTTGATTTTGCAGGGGTGACGAGGATGACTAGGAAAGAAGAGCTGAATGGGAGAAGTTTGCGTGAAGTCACCGTGCTACATGCGATGCCCGAGTCAGGTTTTCCCAGCATGTGTCCGCTTCGTGAGGCTTCTGCACTGACTGGCCAAGAAGGGCAGGCCATCCCTTTGATGCTGCCTTCCTTGAAGGACGGCTGAGCCTTGACGATGGCATCCGGATCTTGTGATGGTGACACGTTTGAAGGATCATTGGACGACGAAGTTCCGAGAAGAAAGAGCAGCAATGTCACAGTATGCTGTGGCGAGAGCACCACTTCGTTCGGCGGACAAACGCATATCAAACTGCAGACGATCTGTGGCTGGAGCACAATTTTCGATTATCGCGAAGTTGCCAAACCAGTAGACTGGCGAGAATGCGAGACTAGATCAAGGAGCTCTGTGTGGCCCTGCCGGGACGTTACCCAGGGACTTCGAGCGGCTTGAAAGCAAACATGAGCACAGGACCGTGGCAGGATGCGGCGAGAGCACGATCTCCGCCCAAAAGGCACCGACACACCTGCAGTATGGTACCGTTTACACCTGTTCAACCTAAGCAAGGTTGTTGGAGGAGGGGGCCCCGACCGGCAGAAACAGCACGGCTTGAGTCGACAATGCGCACTGTGCCACAGCGGGCGCCTCGCGGTGACACTACCGTAGCCACTCCCTCTTTACTCTGAACGTGAGAACCGCCTATGTTCTGTTAAGCTCTTCATTGCAGGAGACTCCTCGTGAAAGTCCGCGAGGAGCCAGCCAGAGTCATGACCCAACGTGCTGCCTTCAGATGGGCCTCGTGCCTTTTCGGTCTGGTGGGGTAGGCATCCCCTGCGAGATACACCGAGCTCCAAACCTAGATCACTCCCAGCTTTGCACAGCTTTTGAGAAAGCTTCAACCGGTGGAGAGCCCGCGTCCACATGCACTTAAGGTGCCTTCAGCTGTCTGCGCTGACAGCACTGAAGCGCCCTCTGTCAAGATGGGCTGGCGCGCAGGAGCTGCGGATGTTTCCACGTCGACAGAGCAGGTTCTCATGCCAGGAATCATGTCGGGACTATGCATGCCGGATGTTCGCGAGGCTTCAGCACGCAGCAATGCCCAGACGGTGCCGCGTGGGGCACTATTTGTCTGGGAGCTCGGAGTGGATGCGGGCCATTATGTCCTTGCAACTTATGCGGTGCGAGTGGTAGCAGTGCCACATCCTCGATATCGCACCTGAACCGCCTGCCCTGCGACCGCTTTGGTCCCAGGTGGCTGGAGTCATGGCGCAGGGCCAATCAGCAGCCTCTTCCTTACCGGGAGAGTAGCAATACAGCGCATAATTCGATGAACACGAGCACTCGAGGGCACCTGCAGAAAGCAGATTTCACCTTGTTGAGGGTGTGCGGATACAGGCATGAGGCCCGAACAAGTCTTGTGTAGAACGGGCTGAGCGGCAGACTTGACCGATTGTAGAGGGGAGTGTAGGTTGGAGGAAAAACATCTTCACCATGAAGGGCTTTTACTTTAGTCTTGGTTATCTTGGAGTGTCAATCCCAGTCGCTCAGGCAATTGTCAATTTCACAACGCTTGTTCTTGCCGCACTTGCCTCCGAACACCCTTCGGTTCTAAGCAGCCTTTGCATCGCCTTCCCTCCGGAACCGACAACACGTGTTTTGAGAGTTCTTATTGAAAGCCTGATAAGGCAAGCCTTATATCATAATATCTCCGAGATGTCCTTACTGGGCGGTCTCTACAACCCCCCAATCACTTAGGCCTGCCTTTCCCATACTCCGCGCAATATTGCCTTCGCATGACCGCGACTGGGAACTATATGGGCCTCTGCAATCAAGAGGGTATGTTCCGAAATCTTCGCAGCCCTTGCAGTAATGTTGCTTGTATCGACAACAACTCTGACACATCCATGTACATGTGATTTAGCATCACCTTGTCACCTCTTGTTGGAGCCTCGCAGCCTTATCGCTACATGGTATCAATGCACACGTAGCCTTACCAAGGCTGCAGAGAATGCTGGCATCTTGATGGACTGCCGAGACATGTGCGCATCACATGCCAATCACAAAAGAAATGTGCTGATTAGCTCCGCGCATTCAGTACATGGTCCACCGACGCCTTATGAACCTTGAGTCGGTCTGGGAGCTGCCTGCAAAGTGCCAGGTTGGTAGGGTGGTGGTCTTGTGCGTGTCATAGGGCCATTTGCCTTCCATGATCCCTTGGAGGAGTGGAGCCTCAATCCATCACCAGTATGCCAGTGACTTGCTTGCAACTGATCACCTTCAGCATTGGTTACAAACCTCGCTCCCAGAAGCCGTCTTCAGCACAACCGACAGAACCGATAGAAAAAGGTGGCTAGTGCGAGGCACTAACACTGCCCGTGGAACGATCAGTTATTCCATCTATTCAGGAGCTGTGCGTTTGTGTGTGTGTGTATGTGACGTGTGTGTGCGTGTGTGCGTGCGCGTGCGTGAGAGCTTTTCCATAAGTGTTTTTACCTGCGCCTCTGCATGCGCGTGTACGACGACTTTCGTATTTTGCCCAACGAACCCAGGAGTGCCATCATTGCACATGCCGGAAGCTTGGAGGAACTCGTGCCAAGGTGCAGAACCAGCATTCTGAAAAGTGCAGGGAAGACTGCGGCAGCTTCCTTTGTAGCCGGTTGTGCATAGTGTTGACTCTTGACGGCAGCTCTTACTGAAATTGCCGACAAAGGACTTGCCAATAGTGACCGGGGCTCAGTGCAATCTGCGGCGATCACGAACGAGCTACAGCTGCCCTGTTGACTGCACACGTTTTAATCGAAAGCAACTAGGTGCCAGCCGGACTTCAGTCTGAAACTCGATGACTGGTCCGAGGACCATGGCCTACGGCCCCTGCGACAATGGCCCGCTGATCACGGCTGACATGCGCGGGCTTTGCCGCATTTGGGACTGCACGCCCAGGCCAGGGAATTACAAACCTATCCTCGAAGTGTCCTTTCGGTTCCATCAGCTGTCTCAGCCGATGTTACCATTTGACAGTCGTGGGCGGCAGCTCGATGTGAATCAGTACGCAGGTTCAGTATCATCAAGTACTGATCACAGCAAGGGCTTCCGATGTACACAGAGTACACCGCGCCGATCAACCCTCACGAGGTTAAGATGCTCGCAGCAGATCGAGGCCGCCTACCTAGGCAGGTGGTGGGAGCCTGGTCGATGGGGAAGCTTCAACTGGTCTCGTCAAGCCCATGTGCTACAGCCAGTGCTGGCTCAACAGTCTCGAAAGCACGGTCTTCAGCAAAACCTAAGTGGCACGTAGGATGCACTAGGTCTTGCACGGTATTTCCCTTAAAAGCCCAGCTGAGCAAGTATTGTGTCTCTTCATTCTTTCGGTCCTTTCGTGGAGGTGTCTAAGGCGGACATGCCAATGTGCCCATTGGTTGCGCAACCATGAACATGTTTCAGCGAAATCTCTGAAGAACAGCTAGTATACTGTCAAGTGCGTCGCAAGGCTCGTGCAAAGCGCAACCCCGGTGCCCCCGCACATGCTGAACACTCGAACCTGAGGCCTTCATCTTCTCTTCTCCGGGTTAAGGGCTTCCCGGTTGCAGTCCTACCACAGTACAGTAATGGAAACCAACCTTGTCTTTACTGTATGAGCTAGGATCGGCAAACCTTTTGCGGAAAGGGGTAGATGCTCGCAATAACTGCGCTTGCATGACGCAGTGGGAGGATGAACAAAGCCAGTTTGTTTATCGGATTCTTGCCAGGTGTCGGCGGCAACTTGCAGCTTGCTAGTCGGGTCCGTCTTGCTTTGGACCCGCACATTGCATTCGAAAATTGCGCATGAAGTCTTGATTCATTGATGCGGTGGAGTATCTGTGGATCGCTATGTCTATCAAGCTAATCAACCCGCAGCATCCGTCAGCATGACTTAAGACGCAGCATGTCACGCGAGGATCCCATGAATTACGCCGTCTTTGCGGTTGCCGGAGAGAAGAGGCAATGTTGATCTTCTGTTCCATGATCTTTAGAAAACTGTCTTCAAGTTCATCGCAGAGAAGCCGGCTTTTTGTGTCTGGAGTCACATCTTTAAAGCTCTTGACTCGGCAGGCTGTTGGTCTGGCAACAAAGGCCCGGGAATCTGGTAGTGACAGTGAGTCGGTGACGACGTTTGTGCTGTCCCTGCATACAAACCTCAGAGGAATGTATGTTCACGGTTCGCCGTTCGTTTGCGCATGCTCATCCATTCTGATTTGGGCTGACCTTGGCCACCTCCGTCAGCTGCAGGCAGACGGTCGCGTCAGGCTTTCGAACTGACCTCTGAGCGGCGAAGTGCGTGGCAGGATCGATTTTGCTTGGAGCCAAAAATGGGAGCCTGCGGACGAGCAAGCGAAGCATACGCCGTAGATTCGCCGTAAAGGATAAGTCCTATTCTAGGTCCGTGGTTGACTGGCAGAGGCGATCTTTGCAGCAGCGAGCTGAAGGCGGCATGTGGCTCTGGTGGGCGGAGGAGGGCCTTGACATTGAACTGCCGATTAGCCCCTTCCGCGTTTTGCTGCCATGGCGTGGGATATGGGCCGAGGGCCCGGATGTGTTACATAGAACATCACGCGATTCTCCTCTCAAAGCTTTGCTGCCCGACCACACGCGACCCGCGGTGGAAGCAAATCGAGTGCGTGTCGGGTTGTCTTGCCAAGTTTTGAGTGCCATGCTATACAGTAGCATACAGCAACCACATGTGACCGCTTACAGTCTTACAGGCAACTTTGCTGTCCGGTGCATGTTCTATGCTTCGCACAGCTGCATGAAACACGTTCCCATGGCTTCCGGAGGCTTCAACATCCAATGGGCCCAGCGAATCGAGAAAGAGGTCGGCCTCAACGGGAGCGTACCATCGTCAGTATGCTGGGCACTTGAAATTGCCTTTGGGAATTCAGCATCCAGCACTCTTGCATGCGAGACCTATACTATACACTTCCTGTTCAGCTGATACACCACCTCAATGAAATATGAGCCGAAAGATCATTTGGCAGGCAGTGACCAGAAACTGTCTGAGCAAGAACAATGAAAGATCTGCGCTATCACCATCCTGAGCTGCCTTCATGTGGCATCCACTCATGACTTCATATGACTTCGATGTCTTTTCCGGTGTGAATTCCTCGATGTTTCAAAGCAATTACTAAGGCTTCTTGAGTTGTCGATGGCATTCCGAGCTCATAGAGACAACGACTGATAAGTGATAAGCTATGACAGCTACTGCTAGCTGCCAGTAGCCCGTGCAATTGCAAGGAGCCTGGTACTCTCTCAAAATTTATGAGACTGCTTCCAGGAGCGGAGCTTCATCAACGGAGCGCAGATGAAGGCCGCTAATCGGCTAACCTTGCAGGTTGCAAGCTGCAGACCGCCTTTTAGCGCCATGTTTTGTCCCGGCGGCATGTCGCAACAATGGCCAGTCTCTCATGATACGCAGGCAAAGATGGAGCGAGCGGCCGATGAGGAGAAGTCCGCGCATGTTACATTTGAATGCCGTTGAACGTATGACAGTGAGACTAAGCCACCAGGACGGGAGGCGAGCTCGCCGACGACATCGGCACAGGTCCATTATAGTTAATCTGTCCGATGGGGATGTGGTTTGTTGAAAACTGAATCTGTGATGCCTACTGTGTCTAACTAGTTCCATTTGATCGATGGTATCGCCAGCGGAATGTGCCTGTGCCAACAAAGTTCTGACGTGTCAGCGGAAGACGGTAACATCAGGCTGTACTGCTACGAATAACTCAGGCACTTATATCCATTGACTTGGTGCCTAAAGCTAACAGGAATCTTGGACCCTAGGCGCTGAACCCGAAGCCTGGAAGGGAGATGATACGTGGGAAACCCCAAACCCAACAAGGACTGACTAGGTCCCCAAAACCAGGACCCAGAAAGAGTGAGCGGATCGAAAGATGGCCCCCAAAGCCCATAAGCCATAAGCCTCTCTGGAGATGACGGCAGACCCGAATGCGTCCAGGGAGTGCGCGGTTCGCGAAACGTTAATGCCTAAACACTCTGAATGGTTCCCAACAAGCTCAAACCCCCACGGTGTCTAACCCGAAACCATGATGGGTGGCAAAACCATCGCTCGCCCAAAAGCGGCAGATGTGGCCCAAAGGTTAGAACCTTTGAAGGAATGATGAGCGCGGAACCCTCAAGCCCCAAAATGCGGTGACTGAGCCCCCAGCCCTTGTGGTAACCCCAAAGCCCTTAACGCTCTACATGGGGATGAGTGGTTCCGAAGCACACTCGCACCCAACAAACCCTGAAAGAGGTAATTGGTTCAAACTCTGACAAGAGATGGTGGATGGCAAACCAGCAGACACCACCAAAGTTGAAACACGATGATGGGCAAAGCCCTAACAGGGGTGTTTGCCTCCCAAAAGCCCCGGAGCCGAATGGGTGATGGAACCACCAACACCATCGTCATCATCGTCATCAAATCCCAAGAAAGAAATGACGGCCGGCAAAACCTGAATCCTAAAACAAGTGCGGTCCGGCAAAACACATCCAAAAACCCGAAGGTACAAGAGGGTGATAGGTGGCAAGTCCTAAAGCTTGAATAGCTCAGAACCCCCCCCCCCCCCCAAACGGATGCAGGAGATTTTGGAACCTAAGCTTGCAACTTCAAACCGGGATGATACATGTAGCAACTCGCCAGCCCCAACAGTCCCACAAGCCCGAACCGAGGGGCGGCACGCCCCAAACCCTAAGTAAGATGATGGCTGGCAAACGCCGAGCCCTCAAAGGCTGGCTGGTTGGGGGAAACCATGGGATGATGGCTGGCGAACCTTGGGTCAAAAGAGGAGATGGTGGACAGTAGCGTGAATAGCCCGAAACATCATGACAAACTCGAACCCTGAAGGTGTGCCACGCAAACCCTAGGTTCTGGTTCCCGAAAGCCCGAAACAGAACCCCTTTAATGGGAGATAAGAGATGATTGGTGGCCTATGCAAAGCCACACGATTCCCAAACTACAGCCCGCGAGCAGGGTGAGACTCAAACCCTAAAGCTGCAACCCTTAATGATGGGTAGCAAACCCTAAGCCCGAAAGATACTGGTTATATGCACTTCTAGATGCAGCAACTATAGTTGAAATTGGAGGTCAAGCTCCAGCAGATGCTCAGAAGCATCGAGCCGGCTATCTTTTGCAGGCGAACCTGTTTGGGGGTTCTGGTTTTTGGGGCATGGGTTTGAGACTGGCGAAGAAAATGTGCAAGCGTTTCGCCAGGCAGCTCTAGCATCGGCAGCGGCTCTCAGTACGCTGTTTCGTTGACCGGGCATGTTGTCGGACCAGTGTCAACTTGTCTTGCCCTGCAGAATGCTGTGGTATTGCTGTATGCTATGCTAAAGAGTTCCGACTGCAACAAGTTGCCGTCAAGAGAAAGGACATGTCAAACGCATGCGCATCGACGTCAGCATTTTGTTGCAAAGTTGCCTGCGATGCCAGGGAGATGAGAAAGTCCGCCTCAGAGGCTTTGCGTCGGGCAACTTTTGTGCTTATCATGCCACCATGCAGGCATGCCCAGTCTTATTCCCAACTTCGCAACAGACTTTTCGGTGCTCTTCTCTAGCGAGAGCTGCTTTCAGCTTCATGGGTCATGGGTAGTCGGAACTTCCCACATCAAAGTGGAGATTTTGAGAGTCGCAATCGAAGATTTCTGATCCAGCTCTCCCTTGCACGGAATCCCGTCATCACATTCACCACTAGCTACATCCACATGCATTTACAACTGCCCAGTCCGCGCTGGTCCCGGACGAGTTCAAAGCGGCAGCCCATTTCCCGGCCTGGTGCCTAGAGTGCCAAAGAAGGCTTCGGCACAGGGCGCAAGACCCCGCATGCTACGCAAGTGCGTGTCAGCTCCTGCTGGGTTCTCAGTTGGTCGAGAAAGACCTCGTCACCGCACGGGTGAAGCCGACTACGGATGGGACTGTCTCAACCTCGGTCATCCTCGACATGATGGCAGTTTCCTTTTTCAGCCACTCTGCATGCGACTGCTGCTGACCAGCAGAGTTTTGCCACATAACAAACGAACTGCCAGGTGCCCAAAATATCTTTCAAGCCAGAGAAGGTGCCGCTCACTTGTTGAGCAGTAGCTTGTGGACTGATTGTGGAGATCGGAATGAAAGTTCCTGAATCCGCATGCAGGTCAAGGCCTTGTGGTGGCCTGGGAAGCAGCACTATGTGAAGTATCATCCAAATTTCTCATTCGAGGCTGCGAGCTCAAGATGCTGATCTAAGCACCTCTGATCATGCTTTATGCAAGCCACTGCGACTGATAG